TGCAGAAACTTAACATTGCCTACCGGCTATCTACCAAATGCATGTCATTATTGTTCACTTTAGGGATTTTGCGACAAAATATTGTATTCCGCAATTCATTCCATTGATGGCAAATTCGAAAAGAGAATTTTAAAATTGAGTTCAAGGCAAAAACTATCTCGATTTGTGTATAAAAACCTGTGTAAGTTGAAATACAACAAAAAGAATGCATACTAGCATACGAAAATGACGATGTTTACTTTAAGAGCATGGCTGCCTAATGAATGTTTATGCTCGTGATTGCCAGAGTTTTTCACATTCTGGAAAATCTGCCTAATTCTACTAAGGTGGTTGGCATAATATGTAATTACCCAAAAATTTATATAAATTTCAGGCATAAATATTTTTAGATTCCAATATTGAGCAATTTGCTTTCTTCAAAGCGTAGAATATTAAAGCATATTTATTAATAATACTGATAATTATTATTACTGTTGATATAAATGAAATATATTATAGGTAAGAAATTTTGCCACATCTTTCTTTCGATACAATGCTTCCAATGTTATGCTTGCAAAAATATGATTATTATGCTCTTCATTTGAATAAAAAATAAACCAGTAATTTGGAGGCAATGATTTTGTGGTATTATCATTTTGTACTGTACAGTTTCAGAATTACGCATATTAAATATTTTATAAATTAAAGTACATGATAACATATATCTGGTTTTCTCCTCCCTGTACCCAGCGATCTGGTTTCCTTTAAAAGAAAATCAGAGAATTATGCAGCAATACAATAAGTAAGGTTAGCTGATTCAAATCACGACCTAACAAAGAAATAGCCAAGGCCTTTAGCCCAAAGTATTTGTGAAAGTAACTGTGTTTTTTAAAAGGATTTTCTGGTATTTTTGCGAATATTAGATATTCAGTTTAAATCTAGTAAACTGACATCTAGTAAACTGACATGAAGATATTGTGAAATTAATAATATGAAATACTGATTTATGAAATCATGAACCATTTATGATCATTAAGTCAATCAAAATTTATATACTAAAATGCTCAGTATGTATTTGTTTGCTTTATTAAACATTTCTTTTAAATTCGTTCTTTGAGCTGCTTCGTTTTTTGTGCTAATACTTTCTCTAATTTTATAAATAGATATATGGTCATAATTTCTAGTTTAATTACTGTGTTCAAGTCCTGTAATTACTATGTCGAGAATTCCTACTAAATTGTCAATCGAAATTTTTTCGTTCTCAAGAACTTTTTTTCACTACTCATAACGATGTTTTCTGGATTTAGAACCATATTACAGATTTCGACGTTCCTTAGTTTATTGGTGACTGGGGCAATATCATCGCAATAAAAAATTTATGTTATATCATCTTCATTTATTATCGCTTCTCCACATTTTTTCACAAATTCCATTAACTGGAAAATTTCGTATTTTGTTTGCCATATCTTCAAATTCAAGGCTTTCATCATAACGCTCAGATACGAGTAATTGCATTTTTTCCTGCATATGTGGCCCTACGATTAATTTTTAAAGATTCGAAATGTGTAGCATTCTGACTCAAAACATGAGCTTCACTCAGCATAGTGATTCAAGTCTTTCAATTGCTTCCCCTATTTTTAATAAATCTCTAGATCCTATGGATCTAAGATTTATTCCTGATCATGTACGTATTTAGAAGTAACTTATTTTATTTTCTTAACGTTTTTACTATTCTGAAACTGTGTTCCGAATTTGTTCCAAATATATAATGTGTTCAGAATACCCCCCCCCCAAATGAAATAAATTTAAAAAGAGGAACTTCTGTGATAACATTAAATTTGGGATGAAATGTCAAAGAAAAATACATTAGGGAATAAATGTGAAATAAGATTAAGCTAATTGAGTATTGTACGCTGCAGAAACCTACAGCATTAATTTAAAACAATTCAAAAACATAAAGATGAGCGTAAAAAAATAACGTGTATTTCCGTTTAGCTTTTTAAGTCCCGAATAAGTAAATTCCCGAATATTTGGGCTTATCTGAAAAACGAATCAGTAATTCTTATTCCAAACAGTATTAAATATTTATCTTTTGGCCTATGAATATTATTTAAAAATTTATTTTTTGCATAACGCATGAAATTTTCGTTAAATTTCTTGTCGCCAACCCAACGCACGCATTCCTCGGCAGTTGATGTTCATATATATAATGTGTTCAGATGGCTGATGTCCATATAAAGAGGTTATCCCTGCTAGACGGGACCTTTCTAAGAAACGAGATTCTGGTAGTACTGGTTTTGAACGGGAGGATTCCTGAAAAAAAAGAGCCCCACCTGAAGCGAAGTCCCGCCTAGCTACGAAAACGATGTTGCGACTACGCGGGAGTTTTTCAAACCTCACTGAAAATGTCTCGGCTGGACCTCTTTCCAGGGTAGAGACAACCAATCAGAAGAAAGTTCTGCTTCTGAAGCATTACGTGATCCCAATCTGAGCGATAATCGATTAGTGTTTGGCATTCAAGTCTTTGTAGTACGTGAAAATGGTAACCTGGCTACGTGGGTTTCCTGGAATTCTGCGGGTTCTGAGAATTGTCCCTTTCAACGTCAAGTCCCGCGTAGCCGAAACATAATGCCTAATCTCTTGCCAAGCGACTAAGCTTAACCAAAGAACGTGTATGTAAAGAAGGAAAGGTTCCACAGACGTAATGTAAACTTGTTTGCTATTATGCCGCTGGAAAGAGGAGGGAAAATTCGCCAAGGGATTTGGCGACGGAACCTCGCGGCGAAAATTTCCCCTTCCGCGACGTGTACAGGAAATTGAGGAGCACGTGTTAAGAAGAAACAGTCTTTGACAAAACGTTTCTTCTTTGACTTTTCGCGATAATTTAAACTCGTATTTTCGCTTTTTTTTGGGGGGGGGGCTGAAAACAACCAATCCATTAATTAATTTACTTAAAATATTTTCTTTTCCTTTAAAGAAAGTTAAAACGATATTCGTTTTATGAACTCTTCATAAACGCGACATTCGAACTTCGACGCCGCCTTCGAGCTTTGGCGACAGATATTTCGCGCATGCGCAGCTGTTTCCCTCTACGTTGGGACGGAGCCACCTGTTGCGGAGAAGTTTTCCATCTTAACAATACATATTATTTGGCTTAACATGTTAAAAAAAAGTCCATTGCGCATGCGGGAAGCACAAGCCGTGCTAAGGCAGCACCCCCTGGAGTTCTAGGGGGTGTTGGCTAAGGTGAAAAGCTACTCTGAAGCGAGAAGTTCTCTAATGTAGTAGCGTCTAGCCCTAGCATGGTTTATGCTTCACGCATGCGCAATAGGCATATTTTCAACATGGTAACCTTCGTCGCTTGGGTAAAGAACATCTATGTATGTTTCTATGCTTGGCGATAAATTCATAACTCAGATTTCAGCGATGCGTAAGTGAAGTGCTGCCGAACGTGTGAAATTTGTTCACTTTGTGCCCAATTATGCGAGCAATTATTTACTGAGAACTTAAAAAAACGTATGGGGTGAGATTAGTGCCCAAATATGCGAGTATTTATTTACTGAGGACTTGAAAAAGCGTACGGAGATATAGACTTTATTCTTTTTTCATTCGTGTAGGTATTTATGAACTGCTTAAATTAAATGCTGTAGGTTTTTGTTACGTGCAATAATTAATTAACTTACCCGTATTTTACATTTATTTCCAAATGTATTTTTGTTTGATATTTCGTCTTATATTAACTGTTATCATAAAATTTCTTTTCAAATTCATGCTTTCCACAAAGGCATGTCTCATCAAATAAATCATTCTTGAGAGCTTTACATAATTAATTATTTTAACCTCATTTTACAGACTTGTTTTATATTTCATATTTACAGTTATCATAAAAGTTCATCATTTAACAGGCATTTAGCAAAACATCTTTTTTTTTTTTTTTTTTTTTTTTTGTATCCTTTCTTTTCATATTCTTGATTCTTGATTACATTATCTTACCTTAGTGGTAATCTAAAATAGGTCTTCGACCATTCGAAACATACAAAATTACCTCTCGTACTAATCACGCTGAATATAAGAAAGCAGTAACAGCTTGATTCTTTAACGCTTCAAGCTTCTTATTCAGCCTTAACTTCTGCAACGTGATAAAATTTAGTGGAATAACAACATGTCTTTCGTTGCCAATCTCATGATACATCGGCCGAATTCTGTATAACTGACGCCAGCGAAGCTTGTCATTGCACATGCGTGAAGCATAAACCATGCTAGGGCTAGACAGTACTCTCTAATGTTACTCCAGTGACTGGTTTAAGTGAAAAAGTCCATTTATTCGATCTCTTTTTACTTCAGTCGGGTGCATTAGCTTAGTCCTTATAAAAACTAACAGTATCCCTAAAACTATATGCACTATATTTACAACTAGGTCATAATGGAAATGTATTTGAGGGACGAGTAAAATTGCACCGAGGGCCGTATGCGGGCCCCTAGGGCAATACAAAATCCTGTACTTCAAAAATCAAAATACTATTCACAGTTATGTGAGTAATATGGTTGCGCCAAGCTTCACTTCCTGAGCTGAGACCGCACTCTTTGTATTCTAACCTTTTTTTCTCTAAACCGTGCTGGGCCAATAACTTCCGGTAAATGCGCCGGAATAAATAAAGTCTGTATAGAGTAAATAAACTCTGTATTCAGTTTAGTTGTGCCAATCAAAGTGCCAAGCTGTGCTTCTAAATCGGTGCTCTTTAGTTTATACTTGTTGCTCATCTTAACATAGTAAATCGTCATCAGTTCTAGAGTTCTTTAAAAAATTTTTTTATTAATTTCTGCTCTAATTTTATTTCAACCTGATAATCTTAATAAACATTTAATGACTAATTGAATAGTAATAAAATTCAATAGCTTTTGTTATTGTAGGAAAAAAAATTTAAATTTGTTTAATTTTGTTCATCTGTTCCTTAAAGCTGGTATAATGATCCATTTTATTTGATTTAAACAATATTTTGAAAACGTAGGTCTCATTGCAGATATGCAAACATCTGGTAGTGAAGAAAAGGTACCTAAGGATGCAATGGTCACTTTACAAGGTCCTTCTAGTTTAAGTATGTAGTAAAATAAGTATTACATTATTAAGTTATGTTAAGTATTTAATGTTTAATTGAGCGTAGCGCTAGCTCAACACCTTTGTTTCTCTTAGTTACAAAATGTGAAATAAAAACTAAGATCAAATAAGTATAAATCCTATGCAGGCAGAAAAATTTGATTTTGGTTCTTAGCGAGGAGAAAAAAGGACATTTTTTTTTTAGTCTATGACACTTAGGGTGTTATAGAAAATATGCTTTATGATTCGTAGGTGTCCTAGAACTGTTTTCCTCCTTATTATCTTGAAAATTCTGCATTTAGCATTAAGAAATTTAGTTTGAATTCTCGCCAGTTTAATGTCATTTTAAAGAAATTTTCTATGTGTTTCTAAAGAATCTCAAAAAGCTCTTTTTTTTTTTTTTTTTTTTTTTTTTGTCATGATAACTTAACCTTTTTTGTAACCTGCATATTAAGCCTAAGTTCATTCATAAAACTTAGTAAATCACTACCACGGGCATTGTCTTGAAGAAATGATGTATGTAGACAGGATTCATCTATCTTCTTTAAGCAGACTAGTAGTTGAACGGCTAAAGGTGCAAAACTGTGATAGTTCATCTCCAGTTCCATTTTAACAATAGAAATGTCTCGCTGCATGAGTTTTCCAGCACTTGCTCCTTGTGCAATGTGTGTGCGTATGTGGTTGCTGTTTTGCCTAGTTGTAAACGTATGCACTGCATTTGAGTTATGCGTCAAGTTACTTATTAATTTTCTGTTACTAATTAGAGATATTGTTATCAATAGTAGTAGTTCAGAATCCTCCTCCATTAATTTATTCCAATTTCTCTTACGAAGGACACAATTGTTTTTACTTAATGCTTCATTCCCTGAATGCTGTAAAATTTGGAGATCATTATTTACTAGTGTCTGAAAGAATCTGTAAGTGTAGAAAAAAATGCATAAGCTTCTGATGTTCTGGGTTTATTCTAAGTGTAAACGTGTAAAGTCTAAGCCTCATAGAAGGCGTCAACTTTCCCGTATAATTTTAGAAGTAATTAGTTTGATTGTTTATTTCACATAACGACAGTGATTGCATTATAATTGTTTATTTTATGGAGGACTTTTTTCAAATCAAAAGAAAGAAACTGCTAACAGAGAGATTACAGTTGTTTTTAGCATTATAAAAATATGAAATAGCAATAAAGTAATAACATAGCACTTATGAAACAATAAATCTAAAGTTATTGGTTTGTGACAGCTGAAAGCAGACTTATTCGTTTTGCTTCCTTACAGAATTATATACCTGTATGAATCACCTACGCCTCTTCTAACATATTGTTGCGAAAAGCCCAGCTGCGGTAAGATAGCTTCCCCGACAAGCGGAGTTAGGATTGCCAGAAAGAGATAGAGAACGGCAGAGTTGCCAGATTTGACGCGAATTCGCTCATTTGGCGACGTGCCATGGAAGGAGAGAGACCATTCCAGAACGCATTCTTAGAAGGTTTCTTTGGGAATGTTCTCGAAGGTAGGTTAAAGCTATATATACCCTGACTGTACGCGGAGTGTAGTGTAGTTAAGTTCAGTAGCAGTGACAGTTCAGAGATTAGCTTGAGAGCGATCGACCGAGTCGGGAGCTATACTTTAGTGCTTTGCCGTGAAGCTGTCTTTACCGTGATAGCCTGACAGCCTCAAGGCTGAGTTGCTGATATTTTTTCAGCATGTTTCTCCTAGTTTTTCGACGACTGTAACGTGTCATGCAACTGTCCTGTGTGATAGTGCTTATTGGTGAATAAATTGTGTTTTGATCCCTCATCAAGTGTTTGCCATTAATCATTCCAAATCTACAAACCCGTAGAACGCAACAATAGTTTTATTAATTCTTCTAATATTTTCTGTTCTAAGAAATTGATCTGATATAGCTCTAAAGCTTTCATGAATATATGAAATATTTCCACTATAAAGCATCAAATTTATATTCGGCTCAGCACCATTGCAGAAAACCATCATACTGGGCTGATCATTATCTAGTTTACTGATCTAGTGTTATCTAGTCCAGAAACCAAAATTTACTTGATAGCTGTCCTGTTAAGGAATTTGATTAATTGAAGTGTGATAATGACTATAATGCCAGTAGATATCATTTTTTTTAATATCATTGGCATTAATTGGAGTAATTAATATTTTTAAACCTTGCAAAAATAAAACATGGAATTACTTTAATTAATGTACTTGAAGTTTTACTCTTATTTTAATCCTTCCTAGTTTTATTTTAATGCTTAAATAATATGTAATAAATATTAATATGTATTTGCATAACTTCATATAAGAATTAAAAAAAAGAGTTTAATTACTTAAAGCACAGTAAAATCTAGTCACTACCAACTACTTTTTCTCATATTACCAATTCTATTTTTCACGTTTGTAAAATATTTCACACTTTATAAAATTATTTAAGAGGGTAAAAAATATTTGAAACGTTGAAACCTCAGAGAATATCTACTAATTTGCGTTTACACAAGCGGAAAGCTCTTAGCAAACCATTGTGGTAATAAAAATTCAGTTTAAATTAGTAAAAGTAAAAAATAGAGTTAAAGTAATGTATATTTAATAATATAATTTTAATTCATTATTCCTTCATTGGAAAAAACAATAATTAAAATTCCACTTTGTTGCCCACATTAGCAACTTTGTGAGAGCTTTCTAAAGAGAAACAGAAGGTTATCTATGTGTTTGTTGAAAGAGCAGAAATTAACATGTTGAAAGGTAACCTAATAATTTTTCAAATTTCTGAGAAAAATAAATTTTCAAATATACTTGGAATTACTTTCGATGTTTTTAATTTCTATCTATTCTTAAAGTTATACTTAGCGCAAATAAAATTTACATAGTAACAAAATCATAAAATGTGTTTACATGTGTAATCATAAAATGTATAATCTGCCTCCAAGAATATGAAAATCAGGCTATTAGCTTAAAGAACATATATATAATGGAAACACTTAAATAAAAAGAGGTTAATTCTATAAATTAACAGTGCAATAAAATATAAAATTGAAACAACTTATAGTAACTGGATAATTTCATTTTAGTTTAAAAATTAAAAAGAAGTATTGATTTTTTTTTTCATAGATTTGAATTGGCTATTCTATTACATAGTAAGTTAGTCAGGTAGAAGTATTCCATTTTTTACAAATGGACATCCCCCAAATTCAGGGCTGGCTATGTCCCTTCCTGCCTTTTTCTTTTAAGTTCCTTTTATATATTAGTATAGATAATGTTTAAACATAAAGCCATTAAAAATGCCTGTATGCTTATATAATTTCTTATGCTTGTTTATACAAGTAATGATTTTGGAGCTTTATGTATTAAAATTTATACTCCTTTGTTCTCATAGATGTAAAGATATCTGAAAGACGAATTCGCTCCAAGAAACTCAGGATGCGGATGTACGCTGATGAAGAAGAAAAAATTAGATCTATTCGGTATGATATGAGATAAACGATTTCAGTGTTTTGGAATTAGCAAAAATTTACCATACTTAGCAATTACATTTATTGAAATTAAGATTTACTACAAAACCTTTTGTATATTTATAATAAGATGCGTAGCTCTACCGTGACCTTCGAGAGGGAGAAGGCCATGACACTTTAAAATCATGGCGGAGCTTTCCGTCCGATGTTATCAATGGAAAGCCATCTGGATTTTTAAATTTTCGTCCGAAATTATAACTTTATCATGTTGCTTAGTTAATTAAAATAGCTGAAAGAAAAGAGGCTTTACTTTTCTTTAGCTTTTTTAGGCTTTTTACAGATATTTTAATTAACTTTGTGCATAAATATAATTGAGAGAATCGAAGAACAAACGAACATTTTACAAAAATTTAAACGCTGATTGAAAATTGCCACTGTCATGATAAATTGGGAAGGGGTTCTTAAGATAATAATTAATATTTTACCTAGGCTGAAGTATTAATTTATTTGCGTTTCAGAGCAAAATATCTAACCATCAACTTCTATATCTCCAACGTATGTAAATGAAATACTATATAAATTAGCTAATAAATGTGATAAAAAATATTTCGTACAAGAAACGTACCTAAATCTTATAACAAAAAAGCCTTCCAACATTCATATTTGAAATGAGATAACCTAACAAACAACATACACAACTGGCAATAAAAAAATAATTTTTCACAATGGCCTCTTTAATCACTGTCTGTTCCTGAGGTTATTGAACTATTTTTGGTCTTTTAATTCTCTCTGTGCAGTTTTGCACTAAGTGACTTGAGTTCCCATAAATATAATACCCTTGTTTGATTGCCTCCAAGTTCGTCAGTGAAAAATTTCCCTTTTGGATATGGTTCAGGCTACTTTAACTATTAATCTAAAACTCGTGATCAGAAAATTTAGTTCTTCAGTTTTCTGAATATGAAATGGACTTTTCTTTCAAAGTAAAATAATGGTCACTTACATTAGCTAATTCTATTGGACTGAATCAACTTTCTCCCCGTCATGCTTTTACATAGGCTGATGTTTCTTTATCTAAATTTTCTATTGACTTGTCCACTATAATTAACTTTTCAAATTCTATAAGTTTCAAAATCCCCATTTTCCCTCAGTTTACAATAGTAATCCCATGCAGCTCTTAACTTTGAAGCAAGCTGAAAGAAAATGTGTTTCATTTCCGAATCCTTTAGCTTCCCTAAAATTTTGTAAGCATACATATGTCATTGGTTCAGATTCTTTCAGAATAATTATACTTTCTCATTTCTTTGTTCTTAACGTATGTCAATAAATTTTGTGTTCGTTTCTCCTAATATATTAATTAATCTTATGATTATTAACTAATTCCTCTGATCTAAATCAGATGAGATCCACAAGTTCATCTGCCTTCATAACTTCCAACATGAAATTAGGTCTCTTCAGCAGATCTTTACGCACCAAGGGAACACAATTAAGTAGATATTGCGCAGTATCTTCAAGGTTTTTAAATTTGGTGTAAGTGGAAAAAGTTTTAGTACTACAGGAATATCTGAGGGTCCTTAAATGTCCTATTGTCAACTGAGCCAGAGCTGTTTGTGTGAGTATATCGAGAACTTAATCATAATCCGACTTAAAGCTGGCGCAGCGCCAAGCATCGCAAGCGCCCGAAGTAGTTGTAAACGAGAACTAAGATTGGAATGCGAGTAGTTGTAGTGATACGTGTGTAAGCGAGGATGATAGCTTTTGTATATAATAAAGTAGCAAGTAGTTAAATAGAGTGTCTTGTGAAATAATTACCTACAAAGATATACATCTGGCAACGAGGATGGATTCGGACCATACATTAAACAGCCATCTTGGAGACTATGCTCCATCTCGTATCCTTTCAATTCACCACCGCTCTCCACCTGACAATCCTTCGTCCGAACCCATTTTCAGTTTTTCTTAGTTAATTAGTCTAAGGGATTTGTGTTTGTCGCTAATTTAGGGCAAAATTTTCCATAAAATTTAACCAATCCCAAAAAAACTTTGAATTTCCTGGACATTTCTGGGTTTCTTGAGGCCTTTACAATCGCTGATATTTTTTCATCTATCTTATGTAAATATCAATTTTATTACCTAAAACTTGTATCTCATCCTGAAAAAATGTACTTTTTCTAAATTTAATGTCAGTCCATGAGTTTTACATTTCTCGAAATTTTTTAAGGTATTTAAATGTGTCTCATCATCAGACCCTGTTATTCGCGCATCATCCATGAAGACTTTACACCCCTCCATTCCTTGGAATAATCCGTCTATGTAACGCTGCGAGATTGCCGGTGCTGCATTTAGCCAGAACATTAATCTCTGATACTTATATAATCAATCCTTTTTGTGTGTTTATTGTTAGCAATTTTTGAGGCTCAGGGTGTGCTTTCATTTGTAAATAAGCATGTTTAGAGAATGTTTTAAAAGACTTGCACCACGGACATTTAGGGACTGTAAAGATGAAAGCAATTGCTAGGTCTTACGTGTTTTGGCATGATACAGATATAGATATCGAAAATATTGCTAAAAATTGTTTTGAATGTGCAAAACATAAAATAGATCCTCCTGAGGTAAAAGTTCATCATTGGGAGTACCCGAACGCTCCAATGGAACGTATTCACATCGATTATTCAGAACCTGTTTTTGAGCATATGTTTTTGATAATCGTCGATGCTCACTCAGAATGGCTAGAAACCTATCCTATGAAATCAAGGTCGACTTTCAAAACAATAGAGTGTTTACGGGAACTTTTTTGCACGATTACCAAAATTGTTAGTGAGTGATAACGGGCCACAATTCACTTCACATGAGTTTAAGATATTTCTACAGGGTAACGGAATCAAACACAAAACAAAACTTCAGCACTATTTAAACCATCTAGTAATGGGCAGGCTGAACGGTATGTGTTTACAGTAACACAATATTTAAGAACAATGCAAAATTATCCGGCAACTTTGAGACAAAAACTCAGTTCATTTTTTCAATTCAATATAGGAAAATTCATATTCAATATAGTAAAGCTCCGAATTTAACTACTCTACAGAGCTCTGCAATGCTAATGCTGAAGAAGGAAATTTGAACAAGATTAGATTTATTAAGATCAGATCCCAAAAGGAGGGTGGAAGATAGAGTTCGAAAAAAACCTACGAGTTTTCAGACCCAGGATTTAAAGTTGGCAAAAGTGGCAGTAAGAAATTATCGCCAAGGTGCCAGACTATGGAGATTTGGAACCATCCAATCCAAGGATGAGTATCTTCATTACACTATAAATGTAGATGGTCAGCTATGGCGACGACATGTCGTTGATGTCGTGATGGAAGAACCATAACTGATGATGGCTGCATATGTCCACCTCCAGCTCTCGTGATTTCCAAAGAGCCTGATAAGAGTGGAGTTCTAGAACCATCCAATGATAATAGCCGCCAGGTAGATGAGTCTGTGTCATCTTCCAAGCCCAAGGTTTTATCGGATGTTCCATCCACCTGACCTGTTGCTGATACAACCAGGTTACCTAAAGGGCCGTTAGCACTGGGGTTTATCTGAGCTAACGGACACAGCTGGCGTAGCTGGCCCATCCCCAAAACCAGTTTTTTCCCATAGGGCAGCAAGTTGAAAAATCTGAACTGCAGGCATAGCGGAGCTAGTTGACACATGGAACTGACTCCTTTAGCTCAGATAAATCCGAGTCTGAATGGCCCTTTTAAAACCAGCTGTGCCATAACCTTTGTCCAGTAGAATTCGACGTCCCGCAGATAGACTGCACTTGTGATAAAGGTGGAGGGATGTGGCGTATTGAGAACGTAATCATAATCGGACTTAAAGCTGGCGCACCGCCAAGCATCGCAAGCACGCTAACTAGTTGTAAACGAGTTTTTATTCTCGTGATGTGGCGAGCACACATGCATATTGCTCAGTAAAGATGAATGCTGCCATTTACTGCAAGAAGGATTTCCGCCATAGTACTCCCCCTCCACATGCCGGAGGCACAAGGGGTCAGAGATACCGCTGATTGAATTTGAACTGCCAGAACGAGCAGTATACAGTGGTGGTTGGCCGGCACAGCTATTTCAACCGTGTTGCCCTATGGATTTACTGTAAGAGTTTGCTCAGGAACGGAAACTGATGGTGGAATGTCTGAAGCAAAGCATGCTGATTTCAGGCGATCTATGCGAATCACAGATTCCTTTCCCTTAATGAGAGGTGTAAAATTTTACTAAACCTTTATATTACTTGAAACGGGCCATCATACGGTAGAGTCATTGGTAGTTTCAGTGCATCGTGCCTCACAAGCACGTGAATGCATGACTGTAAAGCTGGGTGCATGAGATACTTTTGTTAACATGAGCTGATGTGGATACTAGAGATATCTCTGTCATTACCTCACACAACTTAATCTTCACATGAATGAAATCGGGTCAACAGAATTAGAAACTTGGGTGGGCTGCAAAAACTGCGAGAAGGCGAATAGTAGTTCCGTATACCATCTGTGAGCAGATTCCACTCAAATCTTCATTGTATGTTGATCGAAAACCGAGAAGTGCAACTGGAAGACTTAACGTCCACTGAATATTATTACGGTCAAATCAGCGCCTATTTTAATGAGCGATGAAATCTCAAGTAATCCATTCCCTGCAAAGTGGTATGGGGTAGTCCGATTTCGGTGAACACCAAGAATCTTATTAAGAGTAGTGAACATGCACGACTCAAACTCTCGGCCCTTATCGGTACTTACGGTGATTGGAGCTCCAGACCTAGAAATCCAATGGGTTAAAAACGTTCGAGTGACAGATTTTGCCGAAATATCTTTCAATGGTATTGCTTCCGGCCATCGGGAGAATCGGTCGATGAGGTTTAAAAGGTAGGAGTATCCTTCCGAAGGTGGCAGGGACCCGATTATAACTAAATGCACATGATCAAAACGTTGACTGGGTACAGCGAAGGACTGCAATGGATTATGAGTATGACGTATAACTTTGGACTTCTGACATTCGATGCAACCACTGAAGAGTCACTAGGATTATTTTGAAGCAGGAGACTTGAAAAATGAGCAGTGCCGTCGCTGGGATTTGCACCACGGACCTCTCGAATACGCGCCGAGTGTGCTGACCATTACACCACGAAGGAATGCTAAGAAGGCAGAAGAAATACCTGGGCGACTGAGGATTAGGGAACCCAATCGCCAAATCCTGGAAGTGGAGAATTAACATCCACCACCTTTTTTAGTTCGGGTGCCATTGTAGAGTCACTAGGATTATTTTGAAGCAGGAGACTTGAAAAATGAGCAGTGCCCTCACCGGGACTCGAACCACAGACCTCACCGAGTGTGCTGACCATTACACCAGAAAGGCATGCTAAGAAGGCGGGAGAAATACCTTATAGCACAAGTCCAGTCAACGCAATCCTTTGATACAGTCTTTTGACAAATAAAACGAGAAAGAATGTCTTTTGAAGCCACAAAGCAAATAATCTAAGTAAGGACCACAAAAGTCATCGTATATCTGGATGAAAAAGGTCTTTGGAGAGAATCAAATGCTGCTCTGTAGAGTTGGCTGGGAACAAAAGGACGTATCTTGTCACCACTTACATCACAATATATATTTAGCCTAGGGGACAGTTCCATCCTTTGTAGATTTAATGAGCTACTTTCAGTTTACAACAGATGATTCAGTTTGGGATCATTATGTTAAAATTCAACAATCTGTGAAAAACTTGTTACCTAGGATTAGGTTAGGTTAGGTTATTTAATTACGGCAAAGCCTCGAGGGCTATCTGCCTAAAGGAATTCGAACCTCGGACCCAACCACCAGTGTTCAGCGATTTTAACGCTCGGCCGCTGGTGGGCCCCCACATACGCTTAAGGCTTATTGAGGGCCGACCCAATTTCTATGTGTCTTAAATTCTGCTGCCAAGCGCTTCCCTAAATTCTAAAAATTTTACCGCCCACAAATTTCGCCTCTCAGTGCCTTTCCTAAAGGTTTTGCCATCTCTTAATTTTGTTGCTCCGTGCTTCTCTAAATTATAACAATTTTATCGCCCAGTGCGACCTCACCAGCTCAAGAGTTGGTCCTTATGAACAAATTACTTATCCTCGATTTAAACACCACGAAATGTACTCTTTTGGCTTAAAAGTAGCATTACAAAAATTTATTTTTTGCATATGGAAAGAAATTTCTCTTAAATTTTTCCTCTTTAATGCACTTAACTGTTAGCTGAAGTTCGTAATCATCGCCAAGCGTAATGTCAACATGAAAGGATGCCATGCTCTTTGGTATTCAGTTAATACTGATTTTTTTAATTGTTCCGACGTCACTACATGGGTCATTTCTCTAGCTACCTTGTGTTGATATTCATGCGGTGATGAAAGCAAAAAATATTAACTAATGATTCGCTATGTTGAGGTCAGGGATATAAATTATTCAATAGCTGCAAAATAAGTAATGTTTCGATGTAGACTATTTCGGATTTGAGATGTATGTCAAGGAAAAAATGCGAGAGCCAAGTTATTGATCATGCGAATTTATGCTAATGAATAATTATTTCTTCCATGTCGAGGTATATTATTTAATGCCCAAGTCAAGTTAAGGATCGGGACTGCTCACATTTTTTATTATAAAAAAATATGAAATGCGTATGCTTAAAGGCATTTTTTTTTAAAAAAAGGTTGGTGGTCCGGGTATTAGATCATTCCGGAATTGGACGACTGGATTACGGACTTCGTGGTATAATAAATCTGAGCTTGTATTAATTACCAAACAGTTGATAACATTATCTTAAGCACCCCACAAAAGCTGCATTATTGTTTTGGATGGGAAAAATTATTGAAAAATATTAAAAAGAAAGAAAGCCATGAATACTTAAAAGAATGAGTTGAAATTTTGAAACAGATGGAAGAAGTTAATTCAGGATTAAGAAAAGAATTGAAATAAAAAATAAATGGGAAAGAAGAAAAGGTATAAAATTACTTATAAAGTGTTTGAAGAAGTTAACATTACATTGCAGAAGGTTTTAGAAAAGGGGGGGGGCGCCGCTGCGCGCAATGAATTGGAAGTTGCTCTGTCAGCACTATCCTTATCTTCAGGGCAGATGTTTTTATTTTATTTGGCTTATAATTCCTTACTAATTGTAGTATTTCATCTCGATGTACTCCGTCTTTGATATGATTTAAGTCAAATTCCTCGTCATTATAATTCGCTTCCGATGGCGAAGAAAGTGACACAGAGGTTATTGAAAACGAAAAAATTTCGATTGATAAATTGGTCGGTATTTTCGACACAGCAATTATAGGACTTGAACAGCGGAACTTTGTAACTAAACAAGAAATTATGTCTGTTTCTAGAATTAAAGAGAATGTATTATCACATAAAAAACGAAGCAACTTAAACAACTTACTTTGAAAGAAATGTTTAATAAAGTAAACAAATTAATATTAAGTTTTTTTTTTTTTTTTTTTTGTTGTAAATTTTGATACCCTTTAGATCATAATTGTTCTTTATTTCATAAATTACGGTTTCATATTTTAATTTTAATTTCTGCATGCCATCTTACCAGATTTAAACTGATGATCTATAATCCGGAAAAATCGATAATCCGGAATCGCCGAAGTCCCGACGAGTCCGGATTAACGACATTTGACTGTATAAAATAGCGTCGTTTATTCATATATTTATTATCTTCATTATATTTTTTCATTACAACTTGAAGTCATTTGCATGTTTTAGACCTGAAAACACATGCATTAAATATAGTTTCTTTTATGCAGGGTGAAAATAGGAGAAAGTGCTGTTTTTAGAGCAAATACAAAGAAATATCCGTGATGATGATACAGCATAAATGGTAATTATGTGTTTTTTTAATCTAATAATATCATTTTCAGCTGTTCAAAATATCCTATCTATTTTTTATGTCTATATATTTTTCATTTCCTTGCACAGCTGAAAATGGAACACCCTGCTACTGTAATTGTTACAAAAATTATCTAACTAAGAGAACTGAAAGCATTCTGAAAAATGTTTTGGAAATGTTGTTATAAGATTATGTTATAAGATTATGTTTATAAGATAAAGTATATTACAGTCAAAAGTCGTTAATTCGGACACCCATAATCCGGAATGATCTATAATCCGGACCTCAAAGCTAAAAACTTTCTGCGCATACGCCGCGTTGGCACATGCGCACAGGCGTTTTACGTGTGCGCGTAAGACCTTGACTACTGCGCATATGCGTGTGCGCAACTGCAGAATACGTTTTCGCCTGCGCGTTTAATGTATAACGGACGGTGTAAGTTAAAATTATCTAATTATCTATTTCAGTTAATGTTAATGATTGCATTGTTCCTTAATCTTCGAATTGGATCCCGCTTATTATTTTTTGCAGACTGTAAGAGCAATTTTATAAAAGTAAACTTGAACTTTCGATTATGTCAAATAGAATTTCCGATGCTATAACTTCCAAAGGATCTACAAAACGAAAGTATGTTTCGATGTCCAACAAACAAAAAGTGGAATTGCTGCAAAAAATGGATAAAGACATGAAGAATGTGACAGAGAGGTTAGTGAAAATGAAAAAATTTCGATTGACAAGTTAGTCGGTATTCTCGGCACAGCAATTAATGGGACTTGAACAGCGGAACTTTGTAACTGAACAAGAAATTATGTCTTTTTATAGAATTAAAGAGAAAGTATTTTCACATAAAATGAAGCAACTTAAACAACTTACATTGAGAGAAATGTTTAATAAAGTAAACAAATAAATATTAAGATTTTTTTTTTGTAAATTTTGATACCCTTTAGATCATAATTGTTCTTTATTTCATAAATTACGGTTTCATATTTTTAATTTTAGAATTTCTGCATGCCATCTTACGAGATTTAAACTGATGATCGATAATCCGGAATCGTCGAAGTCCCGACGAGTCCGGATTAACGACTTTTGACTGTATAATCATTCAGTAATATTCACTCATTACATACTGAATGTAACAGTTTTGTTACTGTATTATTTATTTTAATTAAATTACTTAATTAGTACAATTAATTAAGCTAGGTATTTTTCATGCATTATTTCAGTGTCTAAAATTGTAGTTTAAAATATAATAGAATCTTATCCTAACTAAGAACATAATTAATTATAATGGATTAAGCAGTAATTATATTTGGAGAGAACAAAACTGACTTGCATAGGCAGGGTCTGGTGGTGTCAATGTTTGTTCTCAAAGTAAAGATAGCACCTGTGCGGGCTTAACTTTACTTATATGTCAAACTCACAGTTATTAATTTCATAAATCAGGGCTTTCAATAAGCCCGTTCACAGAATTTGTCTTTCATCTACAACAGCAACTCTCACAGAATTTGTCTTTCATCTACAACAGCAACTCTCACTTACGTCACCAGTCACATGGCTACACTGCAGCAGTGCAAGCCCGAACATGCTGCCCAGCATTTCAAATGTGTTAGCCTTCAAACTGTCATATAAACAAATTAATGTAAAATCATCAAACCATAATCTGACATTTATCATATAAACCAAAAATAATACCACAAGAAAATCAGTTAGATAACAGTACTTTGACAATGCTTATGTGTAGCATATTCAGTACTAAAATGCTGATAAAAGCAATAGTCTTTTTTTTTTTTTTTTGTAGTGGTAACATACATAATTTTGTAATTGGTCCCTTGAATGTACCATACTGAGTTTTTACATTTTACACATGATCTTTTCCTTCTCTACCATAAAATACTTATATTAATCTACCAACTGACCATTTAAAAAGGGGCAGATTATCCTAATTAAGACCATGTCTCCAACATTTATATTGTTCTTAATTTACTTCTTTTAGCAACTTACCAAATATACTGCTTGCAAAGAGCAGTTTTATAAATACAAAAATTTTATAAATGCAATTTAGTGAATGCAAGTTAAATTTTATTTATACAAGTAGTAGAAGGTTTTACCCAAAAGTAAACGTCATTTTAAGGTAAAAATTTTCGTTTCTTTTTTTCTGGAGTGTTTAATCTGTGGACATTTTCGCTTGATGCTCCAACAATAGTCAGCCATCATACATACATCCCATCTTCATTAGTGCCATGTCTCCATGGATTTCAAATCTTGGTCGAATCACTCACCCTGCTTATCACTGTCTGCACCAAGATTTTTGAAGAAGTTACAGAGATCGCTATGGGAAATGCAATTTGAAGCTCATGTTGCAACCAAGCATTTTGAAGCTCACCAAAATTTGCTGGCCAGTTTCGTTGTAATTCTGTGCTTGTTACTTCCAAGAAAGTTTTCGACAATGCTTTTGAATGACGTTAACCGTTTGAGTCCGGCGAAGTGCTTTCGCGCTTCACTTGTCATATGCCAAAAATAGGGCGCAGCAAGATAGCGCTTCTCTTGTTTTGTATCGAGAATGCGAAGACGCTGCTGTTGGTTAGTATACTTTACGCAATTATTGAGAGCAGTTGTATCAGTAGCAGTTGTTTTATAGGAATTGGAAATTGTTTTCATTTTTTTACCAAGTGTTATACTGATAATTACAAAATAACCCATGTCAAGTTCTGATTCAGTTGAAAGTGACTATGTTATGAGAAGTGATAATGAAAAGTATAGTAATAACCTTGAAAGTGATAGTGGAAGTGACATCATCATTCTTTCTAAGAGATTACGAGTTATTAGTGATAGCAGTGATGATGATGAAGTAACTGCAAGTACACTGCTCAAAAAAAAAAAAAAAAAAAAAAAAAAAATGGGACAGTGCTATATTATGGTGATTTCCTGTTATGTTTTACCACCAATCCTCGAATTCCATATCACAGATTATGTTCTTACTGCATTAATATAATATTAACAAGACATAGTGCACAATAAAAATTAAGCTTTATTTAGGAACTTCGCGCACACTGCCCGACAGCCTGCCTGTTTCGCTCTGCTCGCTACTCGTAAGAAATTTCTCCTCTAGGGTTGCCACACTTATCGGAGGGCGCAAGGCGCGCTCCTTATCGCCATCACCACAGAGTTTCCCCCCAGTTCCTTTAATGGCTATTCAAAGGAACGACATAGGTTATGAAATTATCTCAGAGTATCCGTGCTGTCGGGTATTTTTTTTTTTTTATGATTACAAAATTAGAATATAAAATTAGAAAAGATCAAAATGCAATTCAATATATAACAAGGTATTGACACATATAATAAAAATGAAATAACAAAAAATATGTTAAGATATGAATTTAAAAAAAATGTTTTAAATTGTTATGTAAGAAGCAAGTTTCTTAGGGAAGTGAACATGTCTTCCCGATCTGGTGACAGTTTGTGTCTTAGAGAGTTCGTTTGCAGATTTATTCTGCTGAACTGTCTTTAAGTCTTTATTTGTTTTCAGTTCAGGCAAATTAGAGTCCGAAAAGCAAATAGGCTGGTTTCACACGGTCTATAGACACAGTAGATTTCAGACCGTTAACATCAATTGTGAAAGTTTTGTCCGTTCTAGAAAGGACTTTATGCGGACCTGTATATGGTTGGCACAGAGGTGGCTTTACTCGATCGACACGTAAGTATACATGCGTACACGACTTTAAGGTAGCACTTACGTAACATTTTTCTTGGCAATGTGCAGATGTTGCTATTGGATTCAATTGTTGCATTCTATGCCTAAGATTCGTGATAAATTGTGTGTCATACGGAGATATCTTAGATGACGTTATCATATCACTAGGCAGCTTGAGAGTTGTGCCGTAACACCAGTTCAGCACAAGATGACTGTAGATCTTCCTTTACGGCTGTCCGAATACCAAGCATAACAACTGGTAGTGTTTCAGTCCAGTTATTGGTCTCGTGAGCCTTGAGAGAAGATTTTAAATGTCGATGAAATCGTTCAACAATGCCGTTGGACATTGGATGATAGGCTGTTGTTGTGATTCTGTTCGTACCTAAAATGCGCGTGAATTCTGCAAAAAGTGCGGATCTCATTTGAGAACCTTGGTCTGTTGTTATGATCGATGGGCAGCCAAAACGAGATATCCAACAGTTGAAGATGGCTCTGCAAATGGTTTTCCGTTTTCATATCCGGGATGGGAATGGCTTCAGGCCATCTGGAGAATCTATCTATTAGAGTCAAAAGGTACACGTTGCCTTCTGATGGAGGTAACGGTCCGACGATATCCATATGGATTTCTGAAAAACGTGCATCAGGAAGAGAGAATGTGCCCAGTGGTGCTTTAGTATGCCTAGTAATTTTCGATTTTTGGCAAGATTCACAGGATTTCACCCAATTTTTGATATGACGTTTCATATCGGGCCATACATAACGAGAACAAATAAGCTTCGTAGTAGCTGCAATTCCTGGATGTGACAGATTATGCAGATGATTAAAGATGAGTCTGCGAAAGGAATTCGGAACAAATGGACGAGGAATGTCTGTTGATATGTCACAAAGAATATTACCATCAGAATATTGGCACGGTTTAAATTCCAGTTTCAAAGATGATGTGTTTGTTTTGAGAAGGTCTTGTACCTCCGGATCATGCCGTTGAGCTTCCGAAAATTTTTTAAAATCCAAAAATGGAGATTTTGTTATGGAATCAATTTCGATTCTTGAAAGAGCGTCAGCAACGACGTTTTTTTGAACCTTGCACATGCCTAATATCAGTAGAGTACTGAGAAATAAAATCTAAATGGCGCAATTGTCGAGGTGAACATTTATGAGGGTTCTGTTTAAAAGCGTATATTAACGGTTTTTGATCCGTATAAATTATAAAATTTCTGCCCTCTAACATGTGTCGGAATTTCTTAATTGCAGAATAAATAGAAAATAATTCCCTATCGTACGCGGACCATTTCTGTTGACT